TTTTTGATTGCCTATTATTTATAGACTTCGTAGAGCCCGCGGTGGTATTTAAAACTAAACATTTATTGACCAATCACTCTTAAGATCCATTTTAGAGAACTACTTTGCACCGCTTAAGAAAAAAATCGTTCAAAGTTCAGACACAATTTACCTTATGATTCCCTTACAAAACACTATAAAACCAACAAACTTAACTATAAAAACATCAAGCTTCACTTCTAATATAATTCTACGTCATTGATACATTATAAAAGTCTAAAAATTAATCTTTAAACATCAAGATTTAATCATAAAAATAACAATCTAGTTACTTAAGAAATGAACACAACCTTTGCCATTAAATATTATCATTGTATAAGTCATTTTCGGTCTAAAAATAAACAATATAATGACCGAATGACTAATTAATATATAAAATAGTTTGTGATATCATGATTTTGTGGAATGCTTGAGTTCTTTGTGGCACGCCGCTTCATGTACGGTAGGTTATGTAGTACGGAATTTTGCATCAAGAAGGATTATGAAAATTATAGTAATTATTTTGCAGTAATATCGAGGTTGAGATATAAAGAATATCTTTATTTTTGCAAAATCGAATCAGCTAGAGCTTCTATTATGTAGGATTAAACTACAGTTAAAATTATCTGTCCAAAATCTACCGTGTGTTACTATATTTTTTATTCACCTGTTTGGGACCCTCAAATTTTCATCTAGTAATGCTTTAATGTAAAGAAATTCCATAAAATTTATTGTCTTCCCGATAATTGATTTCGGTATCTTTGGCTATGCCAGAGTGAGCGTAAGTTTGCAAAAAGACTATCCTTTAGAATTTATAGAAAGTATCTTTGATTGTAGCTAAGCCTTTCCTCCTAGAATGGACTTTATAGCAAAGTTAATATTGCACCGATATTGTACCCTCTACATTTAAACGCTTAATTTGATAACTTAATGCTCCAATTGCTTGTAAGAATTCCTTCTATATTAGAAATTTGGATCTAGTAAAGTTTCTGTTTTTGTTTTTGATGTGATATTAAGATGCGGAAAATTAGCTGTTGTTTTGTTTAATAAGGCTTTGATTATTGTTTTAATGAAATGAACCTTGATGATTAAAGGTCACTTATTACAGGAGCTCTTTGACAGTAACATTAGTCAAACTAGAAAGGATAACTATTTTGTAGTGATTTTATTAGTTCTTAAGCAATTATAAAGATATTTTAAAGTGTAACTTACTTGGACTGCGTGAAAACTTTTTTATGAACGTGATTACTAAAATAATTGCAAGTGATAGATCGATAACCTCGTTTGAATTTTAGGATCCGTAGTAGTTGCTAGCCCAGCAAAACTTAAATTATAAATAATGGTGTGATTGAAAATAGTAGTTTTAGTCTCTTTGAATTAATTTATGGTTTAGCTTCGCATTAAAGTCGTGACTAGATCAACTAGAGAAGAAGGCTACCTGATCAATTGTCAGCTATTGTTAATTCTCTTTAGTGTAGTAACGCAAGGTAGCAGCTTCATTTTAGACGGATGATTTAAACTGTAGTTTAATCCTACATAATAGAAGCTCTAGCTAATCCGATTTTGCAAAAAGTAAAGATATTCTTTATATCTCAACCTCGATATTATTGCAAATAATTACTATAATTTTCATAATCCTTCTTGACGCAAAATTCCGTACTGCATAACCTACCGTACACAGAGCGGCGTGACACAAAGAACTGAAGTATTCCACAAAATCCTGATATCATAAACTATTTTATATATCAATTAGTCATTCGGTCATTATATGGTTTATTTTTCAGACCGAAGATGAATTATATACCAACACTTGTTTATTTTCTGATACCACCAAGGGCTTTAAGTAGCACATATAAAGATTAATATGATCTTGAAACAAATAAGTATTCCAAAATCATATTAGGAGTGAAATGAGAGCTTTATAGGCCAGCGCTATCTTAACGTTGAAGGTAAATCCAAAATAAATCTAGCTTATATCTTTGAGTTTTGAAAATACATTTATTCCTCATATGACAATTTGATTATCAACCTATAATTTCTAGTGTTGAATATTACTTACATGTAATTTTACAACTTGGATTTTCTCTTCTTTCGGTTATTTAATGCATATTTCATTATGCATCAGCTTTTACTTTGCGTAACTTTTGCTGATACTAGTATATTCTCTAAGTTTTATAAATTATTTTCTGCAACTTCCGTTTATTTCATTTTGTGGCGCTAAAATTTCTTACTGTAGCTGGCCAGTATTTAGCAATAAATTGATACCTATAATGACTGAGTACGCTTAGAAAGAAATATTTTATGTTCTGTTAGATTGATTTCCATATTAGGGATTATTAGTGGTTATGTTCACCATTTTACAGTATTTTATGTTATGTTCAATTGGTTTCCATATTAGGGATTATTATTGGTTATATTGACCATTTCAGGGATAATTACTGTCGTGAGATTAATTTTTAAAAATATATTTACTGTTGTCGTGTTTTATTAACTTACCTTACAAATATAGAGTATTGATCGATTAACTGTAATGGTATAAAAAGGAGATACGATAGAGAAAAAAAGAGAAGACTTCGGCCTATGCTAAATTTGAATAACTCATTAAGTTGCTCGTTGACAATTTGTTATTTGTTGCTACTCATTAGTAACGTGAAAATAAATAAGATTTTTTTAAGTTTAACTTGCGGTCGTGACATTTTAGATGGCTGAGACGAAATTTCGTTGTAGTAATCGTTAATATTCTAATAAAATCTCGCAAAATTCTGACAATTACGGTAACATTCTTCGCTGCAATTAAATCGTAACATACAAGTAACATCCATATGTATTTCATTCAATTATTTGCTATAGAACGATGCCTTTAGATTTGCTTAGGAATCGATCTCATTATGTGGTGTTTATTGCTTGCTTAATCCAAGCAGTGTATAGTGATTTATCCGATCCAGTCATACAGGAACTTTCTGATAATTCCAATTGTTCTCTAACTGTGAAGGATAATGCATCTGAACATGCCCTATTTCGAGAAATTATCCAATCAGAAAGAACTCGAGTAGTTTTTTTTTATTTGACTATAAATAATCAGACTGTAGAGCAACGTACTATAAGCGAACGTTACTATGACCATGATTTTTATAGTCTGGTTAGAAAAGATCTTGGCATGGCTATGATTTCTTTGCCGACCGATTACATTGCTATAAGCTTAAACCTATATTCAATTTTCACGTCTGAACAAAGCTTAGATCTTATTGAATCAACCCGAGGTTGTTATGATGAACTAAATGATACCCAAAGACAGCACATCGTATTTACAACATTACTACAATTTACAAACTTAAATCAAGGTTGTTATGGTCAAGATTGTTCTACAATATGTTTGCGATCCTTCAATAGATTAGATGGATTTTTTTATCGGAATGTTAAGTATTCTTGCTGTAACAGAAGAACAATTAATCCCAAAATTAACATTAGCACATGCCTAACACCTAAAAAGCAACTGTGGTACGTTCATGCTATGCGAATAATTTCCATGATGATTAGCTACTCTATGGCCGCTGTAGTATTGGATAAACTTATTAATAAGTTCTTGAAAGAATTATGCAGTTATCGGTAAGTCACATATTTTACAATGCGATATGAATTTAACTTTAAATTGAATAACAAATTTTATATATTATCATTCTACAAGCAATTCATAGTTTATTGTCTATCTGTTTTTTTAATAACCCGACTATTTACTTCAATGTTCAGTACCAGCGTAAACAAAACTTATTTTTCGCGTAATATAAAATATTAACCCCTTACAACTACAGTACTTACAATCTAATATTGGATTTTTGACACCATTAACTCAGATTTAAAGTGTTATTACAGTATATGTAACATTTAGTCCCAGTAAAATTTCTTTTCTTCTAGATATTTCCAACAAGAATCTCACTTGACCTCAGATGAGAGTCAAAATTATCGATTAAACCAGTCAACTAATAATTCGTGTCAGGAATTAGATCAAGAAGAAATTCATCAATCATTGCTTAGATCATTTCATCAAATTAGTGGAACGCATGGCAGATTCAGCAATCGTATATTATCAAATTCAGTAAATCTTCCGAAAATGGTTAAGATTCGCATTTTAGATACGTTACAGTCGCAAAATGTTAACTATCTCTATTTTTACGACTATGCTATCAATTATCATTGGCGAAAAATATGTTACTCTATTAAGCTATTATCACTAGTTATCCTGTCCGGTGGATTGGGATTTATTTCTCTTCTTGTACAACGAAATTCAACATATTTTATTTTTACGCCCAAATTTAATAAAAGCGAGATAATTCACAACATACCTGAAATAAGTTATATAGTAGTTTGCGCCTATGGGCCATACACAGTCTTCTTTATTGTATGCCTTTTGAAACAAATATGTTCGAGAGATTCAAAAGAATTGTATAACCAAAATGGTACCAATGATCAAGAGCTACTATCTAGAAAAATATACTTAACACCAAGTCATGAGCGACAGTCCTATCACCAAATTAAAATCATTCTTGTCGATATGAAAGACCATTTACTATCTCTACAACTACTTCTATTTATCAAAGATCTCTTGACACTTACAGCTTGTTTGCCATTTTGTATACTTGGACTCATTGGGCTTTTACGGGCTTTATTTTTTATTTTTGAAATATCAACATTGAAATGTAAACGAAATTTACTGCCCAACAGAAGGAATTGGCCTTTAACATATTTCCTTATGTCAGTAATAATGACATTATACTCTATGATACTTGTCCTTACTGCTGCAACAATATTATTGTTCGGTATACAATTAATTCTTAGAATCTTCATTACTGTCATAACGTTTATTTTTGTGTTTTCTGCCTATTTTAATCAAATTATTATTATTATGATACCATACTTGCATTTTATCTATCAATTATTACGTGCATATTTTATTCGAGGTCCTCTAATATCTCAAAGAATTATTGATGTAAAATCTAGGATAGAAGAAAATATCCAAACAATCTTGGATAGTAAGCAAGGTGTTTTGCGAGTCAATTTCATAATTACTCAAGTTGCCAATGTTAGTAATGTAGAAATTGATATCCCAGAAATTTTAAATGAAGAAATTATCAAAGATTGTATCAAGGTTTGTATCAGAAGAAGTGTTAGAGATAGCCATCATCATGCAGTTAATGGAACTTCGAGCATTATTTTTCAATACTCCCAAAATATGTCGGACAATAATAAAGTTACAGTCAAATTATTGCAATGCGGCTTTGGTTGTGTAAAATGCTCTTTCGACAACGGATATAGTACACTCGCAGAGATAATAGAAACTCAGTTACAAAACAGAGATTCTTATTACTTTCGTAGTAAATTAACTCAAGTCTACTACGATATATATGAAGATGGAGCTCATAAAAGCGTTGGCATTCCTGCAGAATTATACGATTATCTGAAACATTATACGCCTGAGATATCAATTAGTCAATTACAAGTAGCATTTAACATTTTAATCGTAACAGCTCTATTCTTCTTTTATACTGTTACGATCTTTCTCGTTTATAAACTTCGTTCAATTTCATCGTTAAATTCGATTGTTGCTAATACTTCGATTGCCTATTTAGCTACATTTCTATCTTTAAAATATTCCAAGCTACTCGAGATCGAGAAAGAAAGAATCGACAAGATCTTAATTCTTAACATTACTCAATATCGACGAGGTTATAAAACATTTTTCAAACGAGGAATCGAATTTCAACCTATTTCTCAAGCAATAAGCATTGCTATAGGATAATACGCGTACAAATAAGCAAATAGCTGAGGATACGGTGAAGTATTAATTCACCTTCTTAAGTTAACACAGTTTACCATCTTACTACATAGTTGTGTATGTTTTATCATCCTAGTCGATGACGAATATCTTTTCTTTTATCGTTAACATAAGCTGTATAGTAACATTATACTTGACATGTTAATACGGTACTTAAATACGCGTAGTTATTATATTGGTATTAATGATCAATCCATGATAGGCTTATTTCTTTGTTGTAATTGCTGTAAGTTATAAGATAATGCTGTTAAAATAAAAGTCATTATGGCATGATAGCTTGCTTTATCAAAAAGGTGTTATCGAAAAACTGGACATAATAGGCAGCCGATGCACATACAATTATAACGCAATCAAACAGCCTAGTAGAAAAAGGCATATACTAAATTAGATTTAGCGATAATATTGTTACGGTCAATCCCCGTTGCTCGATCATTCCCAGGGAATGACCGAGCAATTCGGCTATTCCCTATGACTGGCCGAGCAATTCAGCTATTCCCTATGACTGGCCGAGCAACTAACCGTGAACTTGGTCAATCCAATCAATAACCGAGCAATCGGCCCGCCATTCAGTCAATCCCCATGAATGGCCGCACAATTGACCAACTATTTTGGATAGAATTGTTGTAAGTGAAAACGTTCTTCTTTTTGTTAGGTTGTTTTGTTGTTGACAGTTTCAGTTCTGTCGTTTTTTGATCTCTTTACCAATAATATTTAGAATCAAATATTTGAAGGTTGTTTAGTCTATCTGTCTCACATTTTACTTAATAAATTGTTGTTCGGTTGTTTGCCCAATTTGATTGGGTGTCAAAGTTTCGTTTAGTCGACCAGAGTGCCACGAAGGTTGAATCGAAATTTATTAAAAGTTCTGTAGCTTGATTTCTATATATTACATTTCATTACATTAGTCATCGACAATTTCTAATGTAGTAGTTATTAATCATCTAATATTAGCATCACAATAATATCTATTCTTAGAAACCTAACTATATCGAATATAGCTATCATTATAATCAAATATGAGGTGTATCACTACAGAATGCCAAAATGATTACAACTGATAGGTAGGTTGATAATGTTGTTTAAATTTTAGGATCACTAACAGTAGTTAGCTCTACGAAGCTTATGAAATGAGAGTATGATTGAAAAAGTAGTTGCAGTTTCTTGTTGATTACTATTGTTATAGCTTCATAGTCGAGATTTTAAGAGATCTACTACAGAAGGAGAAGGCTACCTCATCACTTACCCTACGTGTTTACTTCTCTATAGTGCAGCAAGGCAGCAGTAACATTAGATCGATATTGTTAACTATAGTTTATTAGTAAAAGCTCTATAGAATCAAATTAAAAAATGTCGATGTTTTCTTCATTCCAACGTCGATATCACTGTAAAACCGGCTACTCAATTTTTGTAATAATTATTACTGTTGTTATTATCGTTCTCGACGCAGCATGACACAAATGCAAACATTGCATAAATTACGATATCACAAACTATTTTATGCATAAATAATTAAATACTTCAGTTGATAGATATAGATATCACTTAAGAAATAGTAGATAGAGAAAACATTGCTTATTTGCAGATCGTAAGTGACGTGTACAACGACAATATTTGGTAAATCTTCTCTTTCAGATTGTCAATTATTCAAAATTTAACATCAATTTTTAGTACAAAATTATTACTTCCCAATAAGAGAATAAACTTCATTATCAATCAATAAGTGTTGCAGCGTTTTATAATCAAATCTCTAGGCATTTTGCTATTTCAACTTGCGTAATTGGTTATTTCAAACAGTTTAGAAATCATTGTCCTAGGAGCGAAATAAGACCTTTATAAGTTAGCTTGATCGTAACATTGAAGGTAAGTTCACAGTAAATCTAATATTTGTCTTAGATTTTTGAAAAATCTGTTTCTGATATAACAATTTAATCGTCGACGTAGTTATTTCTAGTGCCATATGTAACTCACTTATAATTTCCAATATCAATTGTTAAATCTTTCGATAGTTTAATGCATAATTAAGTGTGCACTAGCTGTTATTCTGAGTAACCTTTGCTAATAATGTTGCATTCTCCAAATCTTACGCATTATCTTCTACGGATTGCCTCTAATTTTATTTTTAGGGACATTAAAATCTCTTACTGTAGCTGGCTTGTATTTAGCGAATAAATAGATACCTATAATGATCGAATAGACTTAGGCGTAGACATTTAGAGTAAATACGACGAAATGCTAATTTTGTAATCGCTAATATTGTAGTAAAAGCACACAAAATTCTAACACGTAATAATTCTTTATTGTAATTATATCAGAACACTAAAGTAATGTGAATATATTATTCAATTATATCTTACAGGACGATGACTTTAGGTTTGTTTAGAAATCGATCTCTTCATTATGTAGTATTTGTCGTTTGCTTGATCCAAGCAGCGTCTATAAATTCATCCGATCAAGTGATACAGAAGTCTTTTAACACTTCCAAATGCTCTCTAAGTGTGTATGATGATACACATCATTATGCCCTATTTCGACAAAAAATCGAAGCAAAAGAAACTAAAATAGTGTATTTTAATCTGATAATAAATGGTCAGAATCTACACAACGATTCTAAAAATTATGACTTCTATGGCTGGGTTAAAGACGATTTTAGTTGGGCTCTGATTTCTTTACCGGTCGATTATATTGCTACAAGCTTAAGTCTATATTCAGTTTTCGTACATCGACAGAGTTTAAATCTTATTGAATCAAGCCGAGGTTGCTATGCTCGACTAACAAGTGATTCCAAAAGAAAGTATATCATTTTTGAGGCATTATTAAAATTTACAAACTCAAGTGGAGGTTGTTTTGGTAGATATTGTCCTACAATATTTTGGCGACGCTTTAATAGAAAACAGGAACTTTTACATCATCCTATACCTTATTCATGCTGTAACAGAGAAATAGTTGCTGCAAAAATTAACATTAGTACATGCCTAATTCTAGGGAAACAGAAATTGACAGGTCGTATGGTACAAATAATTTCCATAATAATCAGTTCCCTTATAGCTGTTACTATGTTAGATAAACTTATTAACAACTTCTTGAAAGAATTAGGTAATTATCGGTAAGTCACAAATTTTACAAAGCGGTAGAAAGTTAACCTTAAATTCAGTAACGAACTTTATGTATTATCGGTCTATAAGCAATCTATTATTTATTGTTTATCTATTCAGAAGCATTCCAACTAATTACATCAATGTTCAGTACCCAGCGCAAACTAAACTTGTTTTCTCAAAATAGAAATGTTAATTTTTTACAGTTACAGTCCATACCTAGTTCAGATCCAAAGTGTTATTACAGTATATGTAGCACATAACCCGAATAAAATCTTCCTTCAATAGATATTGCGAACATAAATCTCATCTTACCTCTGACGAGAGTCAAGATCATTCATTAAACCTACTACAAACTAATAATTCGCATCAAGGATTGATTCAAGAAGAAACTTATCAATCATCGCCTGGATCGTCTCACCAAATCGGGGAAACATACCTCCAGCGTAGTGATAGTATGTTACCAAATTCAACAAATCTTACGAAAATGGTCAAGGTTCGTATCTTAGATACGTTACACTTTCAAAATGTTAACTATTTCCATTTTTCCGACTATACTACTAACTACCATTGGCTAGAAATTAGTCATTGTATTATATTCTTATTACTGGTTATTCTATCTTCGGGATTGGGATTTCTTTCTCTTCTTTTGCAACGAAATTCAATGCATTTTTTTTTTAAACCTCGATTTCATAAAATGGATAAACTTCATGACGTTAAAGATATAGGATTTATTATAGCAGTATGTTGCGGGCCATACATATTGATTTTAAGTTTAGCTCATTTGAAACAGGTATTGACCAGTGATTCAAATAATTCGTATAACCAAATTGACGACAATGATCAAGAGCTACTAACTAGACAAATGTACTTAACGCCAAGTTATGAGCGACAGTCCTATCACCAAATTAACATCATTCTTGTCGATATGAAACACCATTTACTTTCTCTACAACTATTTCAATTTATCAAAGATCTCTTAACATTTATAATCTGCTTGCCATTTTGCATATTTGGACTTATTGGACTTTTACGAGCTTTACTTTTTATTTCTGAAGTATTAACATTCAAATTAAAACGAAATTTACTTCCCAAGATAACAAATTGGCCTTTAATACATCCTCTCGTATTAGCCTTTATGACGTTCTACTCACTCTTTTTTGTCTTTTTTACTGCATCCCTATTAGCTTGCGGTTTACAATTGATTTCTAGAATCGCTATTACTGTTATAACATTTATTTTCGCATTTTCTAGCTATTTCAATGAAATTATTATTATTGTAATTCCATACGTGCATTTTATCTATTTGTTATTGAGCGCTTACTCTGATCGAGGTCCTCTTATATGTCAAAGAATTATTGATGTAAAGCCAAGAATAGAAGAAAATATTCAAACAATCTTGGATAGTAAGCAAGGTATTTTGCGAGTCGATTTTATCATCACTCAAACTGGCAGTATCAATGACGTAGAAATTGATACCCCAGAAATGTTAAATGAAGAAACTATCAAACTTAGTATTGTGGATTACATTAAACGAAGTCTAAGAGATGACCACCATCACGCAATTAATGGTACTTCGAGCATCGTTTTTCAATACTCATATATTGAGTCAGACAGTAATAAAGTTACAGTCAAATTATTGCAATGTGGCTTCGGTTGTGTAAAATGTACTTTTAACGACGGACATAACATACTCAAAGAGAAAATCCAAGCTCACTTAGGCAACAACGGTTCTCATTATTTCCAAGCTAAACTATGTCAAACCTACTACGATATATATGAAAGTAGAACTCATCCATGCACTGGTATTCCTGCAGAATTATACAACTATCTCAAGTATTACACACCTAAGATATCAATTAGTCAGCTACAAGTAGCATTTTACATTTTTATCATAACAGGTCTATTCGTACATTATATTGTTACGTTCGATCTCGTTTATAGATTTCATACATTTTCATCGCTTAATTCGAGTATTACCCATGCCTCAATCGTCTATTTAGTTTCATATCTATCCTTAAAAAGTTCCAAAATTTTAGAGATCGATAAAGAAACAATCGATAAGATCTTAATTCTTAACATTACTCAATATAGACGAGGTTATAAAATATTTTTTAAGCGAGGAATCGAATTTCAACCTATTTCTCAGACAATATGTATGGCTGTAAGATAATACAAGCATACAACCGAGAATACCACAAACCATTAAGACGCTTTCTTATGTTAATATAGATTAACATCTTACTACGTAGATTTATATGTTGTTTATCATTAGTTGATAGGGAATTATTTTTATTTCTTGTCGTTATTGTAAGCTATATAAGTACGTAGTATAGTAATCTTAATACTTAAATAGTTATGTTTGTATCATCTATGTTATACTCTATTCTTCTTATATTTGTTTTAGGGTGTAAGATTATACTAATAAAATAAAGTCATCATGATATTTGAGCGTTGTCAAAAATCTATTCTAGAAGAATTCGACTTTTTAAGTAGCTCGTGTATGCAAAATTACGAATGCTGTCAAGTAGCCAAGTAGAAGCAAGCATTGCTAAAGCAATTTCAGCTTCAGTATGAATGATTGCAGGAATCATCGTCATTAGTCGCTGTAATAACATACTTGTAGAAAAGATAGTATTTACTAACCTATTATAGTGGCAAGTTATCATAAAATAGGGCATCCGTTGTCTAAATTTAATTTACGCTTTTATAACCGAAATTAATCGCAGACAGGTAAGCCTAGCAATACCAACTAGATTTTGCTTTGATATTTCTACTCTATACACCAATGGTATATGCATTTAGGGATATTGTACAATAAAAGAACTTCCTATTTTTACAGTGTCTAACGATAGTGTAATATTACTAGAGATTAAGTAATCTTTTAATAACTATTTCCATAGTGCACGAGTATTAGAACTTGGTGTAGTAAAATTAATCACAAAGTAAAGTGAAATCTACTATGACATTAATCATTTATTCCAGCATGCCCATATATTATGCAATTGATCCCATTTAAATGACTCGAGTTGGTCGATAAATTTGAAATTTAAAACGATACAGGTAACCTAAATTAAGATATGTATGTTCATTACACAAGTACGCTTCAATAAAAATATTTGTAGACTACATTTATAGACAGTCTGCATGTTTTTCTACTCTTTACTACAGCTAGACTTGCGAAGTTTGTTTATAAGATATTGACAATTCTTATTCAGGAAATGAACTCTCCTTGCTATTTAATTAAGACTTTGATCCAGTTATGTTCTACTTTACTAATTGATATTTTATTTATATACCGGTACCTCAGGCACGTAGATTTTCACAAATTACCTATAGACGTTTCGATAGTTGGTTTCAATATCTATTTGTTACAATATCTAATAGAAAGACATAGGAATCACCTATTATGCTTATACTCTAATTTTTATAGTAATTCATTGAAAGTAGTTTGTTATTAGTTACATAGTAATTCAATAAACCTGTTGCAGTAAACAATATTCTAGCTAATACGTATAAGAGACGACAACAACACTCATAATAAATTGTTTCACACAAGTACACTTTCAGATCATGATCGAAATTAGCGATAGGCGTACAAGTTTGGAACCTTTTCAAAAGTTTATTGCAGTTGTTATAAGTAAATTGATTTATTTCCGTACAATGACTCTTTGCAAAGATACTACGATAGATAGCATGAGCTAATATTTATATTGTCTAATTTGAAGGAATTGAAGAGCTTTTCTTAGATTTACGGTTGTCACCTCAATAATTACATTACAGATAGGCTTAACTCAGGCAACATTTAAATTTCAGTCTATTAGATATTTTACCGTCTATTGGTTTAAGCTGTAATCAAGGTGCACGCTATTATGATTTTGCTCACGAACTTATTTAGGCACAGCATTCAAATCTGAATTATCCAACCAGTGATGGATATTGATGAATAGACCACATAAAGCGAGAAGAACTAAATTGGCACTAATAATTTCTAGTTTCTGTGATACTGCAATATGGTTTCTACTTGGTTGCTACAGAAATTAATAAAACTTATTCATACCTTCTTGAAAAATTTTAGAAAGGTATTAAAAATTAAGTATTACGGGTAATAAATAATTTTACTTCAGTTTTAATGCTACGTCAGGATTACTATATGACGTATTCACCTTTGACACTCTCTTCGGTTGTATACCGCAGAATATAAATTATTTCTGCATCTGTGCTGTACTTTTAATTCTCCATTCAAGCCAATTGTAGAGTTATTGGTTTCGCTGTCTTCCATTAAATACGATTAAAATCTTTGTATTTTGAATCTCTTATTGATGAAAGTGATACTTAATCGCCCGTGATTCTCGAAATTTTAGCCCCACACTGTGATAATTTCTTTTCAAGCGACTGATATCCCCTATCTAAGTGATGCACCCCTCTAATGGTTGTTTCACCTCTGGCACAAAGTCCTGCAATCACTAAGCCTGCCGAAGCTCTTAAATCACTTGCCATAACTTCAGCCCCTACTAGAGATTGGACTCCTTGTACAACCGCATCATGGCCATCAATAGTTATGTTAGCTCCCATTTTACACAACTCACGAACATGCATAAACCGATTTTCAAAAATAGTCTCCGAAATAGTTGATAATCCTTCCGCCAAGGTCATCAAGCACATGAATTGAGCTTGTAAATCAGTCGGGAAACCAGGATGAGGCTGTGTTGAAATATTAACAGGCTTTAAAGGACCTTGATGTTTCACTCGTATAAAGTTCTTACCCTGTAGAATGCTTACACCAGCGGCTTTCATTCTCATTACTAAATTTTCAATTAAGTCACATTCAATGCCCAGTAACTTGACATCTCCTCTAGTTACTGCTGCCGCTATCATGTAAGTTCCTGCTTCTATCCTATCTGGCATTACCTTATAGCTAGTACCATCGAGCCTATCTTTTCCAATAATTGTCAATTCTGTCGTACCAATACCCTTGATCTCTGCTCCCATTTGATTTAAACAACGGCATAAATCAGCTATCTCTGGTTCTCTTGCACAGTGAAACAAATTGGTCTCACCCTTTGCTAAAACTGCAGCTAAAATTGCATTTATAGTTGCTCCAACGGATACTTTGGTAAAAGAAAAATTGCACCCTACTAAACATTCATCTACATGAGCATCAATACAATCGTGGTGCATTATTATTTTTGCTCCTAACGCTTGCATAACGGCTATATGTAAATCGATTGGTCTAGCACCAATCTCACAACCTCCTGGAAATGATACTGTTGCTTTGCCAAACCTAGTCAATAATGGTCCAAGAAGCCAAATAGATGCTCTTATTTTACTTTCAATCTCATAGGGTACAAAATAGTTTTGAATGTCAGCAGAGGATAATTTTAGCTGTAAACCGTTATCTTCTTGGTCGACGATTTCTATCACTGTCCCAAGATTCACTAACAAGTTCTTCATTGTTGTTATGTCAGATAGCTTAGGAATATTGGTAAGTTGTAAAGTTTGATTCGATAAAAGGCTAGCGGCCATTAAAGGTAACGAACTATTCTTTGAGCCACTTATTGCTATTTCTCCAAAAAGATGGATTCCACCCTGAATTAAAATTCTCTCCATAACGACGTCTAAGTGTTGCCTTGTAAGTTACAGGGCCCAAGATAGTCAATATTGGTACAGCGGCTGACTGTCTCGTATGTCATCAATGGTTTCCAAGGGAAACCCCCATAAACCCCTAAAGACAAGTATTTGTCTCACAAGTTCCTTTAACTCAGAAGGAAAATGTCGGAATCATTGCTTACAAGCCACACCCTTCGCTGAAAGTGGTAGTTCTAACAGTTTATAACAATATACAATTCAATTATATTATAATTAATAGACTGTAGGTTTTATTTGTCATCAGCTGCTCATCATCTATTTAGCTCGTATTCTAGGATTGTGGTCTTCCCCTTTAGTCAATTATCTCTGGAGTTTATACTGATTTTATTTATAATGAATCGCTTATTCATCACCTATTAGGATTGTATGATTAGATTGAGCTTTCCCTTTGGCAGTTATTTCTTGAATGGATGCTGATTATATTCTTAATCAGTTGTTAATCACCTTTTAGGATTGCATGATAGGATTGCACTTTGTTCTTTCAGACAGTTATTTCCTGAATTGATGCTGAATGTATTCGTAATCAGTTTATAAGCATCTTTTAGGATTGCATGATGGAGTTGTGCTTTATCCTTTTAGAGAATCATTTCTTGAATTGATACTGATTTTATTAGTAACAAGTCGTTAATCGTCTTTGTGATAGGATTAAGCTTTATCCTGTAGGCTGCTATTTCTTTGAATTGTACTGATTTTATTAGTAACTAGTCATTAATCGCCTTTGTGATTGGATTGAGCTTCATCCTGTAGACTGTTACTTCTTGAATTTATAGTAGTTTTATTTGTAATCAGTCAATAATCCCCTTGTATGATTGTGTTTATTCCTGCCGCCAGTAGTTTCTCGAATTAATACAGGTTCTATTAGTAATCAACTGTTAATCCCCTTCTAGGATGGAACTTTTTTCCTGTAGATCGAAATTTCTTGAATTTATACTGGCTTTATTAGTATAATCAGTTATTCATCACCTTGCAGATTTGCATGATAGGATTGAATTATTTCCTATAGATAGTTATTTCTTTAACTGGCGACTATCTAAAGCGTGAGGAGCGTGTCAATATTTACTTGATCTTTTATTGCACGCTCTACTTTATATTATTTCTGTCCATGATACAGTTATAGATTACTCCCCTGATGGTGTTGTAATCCTACCATTGCATTTCCGATTGACTGTTAGATAGAAGTAAAAAATGACAACATCACTGAAGTTGTCTTTCTTCAGACATACTCTATCGCCATATAATACACCTTTTGTATCTGATGTAAACTATAACATCAGATCGATTTTCGATGAGTGAATGCTATGATTTGATCTAGCAACAAAATAATTCGGTGATCGTTGATAGTTTGTATTCTGCTACAGCGTCTAAACGTTGCATATCCCCAACAGTCAACAACACCAGTCAGTCATGCCAACAATCATTTAGGCCAAAAGGAGTAGCTCCAATAGAAACCTTAGTTTACTTGATTATTGAATTAAGCAGAAACATCAAGTGATCCTAGTACTAATAAATTGATTAAGTTGAAACACTCCATGTCCCCGACAGTCGACAATACCAGTCAGCCATGCTACCATTCATTTAGGCCAAAAAGAGTAGCTCTAATAGAAACTTTAGCTTGCTTTATTATTTAATTTAATTTATTTAATTAAGCAGAAACATCAAGCGATTCTAGTATTAATGAATTCATTAAGTTGAAATGCTCCATGTCCCCGACAGTCGACAATACCAGTCAGCCATGCCAACAATCATTTAGGGCAAAAAGAGTAGCTCCAATAGAAACTTTAGGTTGCTTTATTATTTAATTTAATATATATTTAATTAAGCATTAATGAATTCATCAAGTTGAAATGCTCCATGTCCCCGATAGTCGACAACACCAGTCAGCCATGCCGAATATCATCTAGGCCACAAAGAGTAGCTCCAATAGAAACTTTAGGTAGCTTTATTATTTAATTTAAATTATTCTAGTATTAATGAATTCATCAAGTTGAAATGCTCCATGTCCCCGATAGTCGACAACACCAGTCAGCCATGCCAACAATCATTTAGGCCAAAAAGAGTAGCTCCAATAGAAATTTTAGGTTGCTTTATTATTTAATTTAAATTATTCTAGTATTAATGAATTCATCAAGTTGAAATGCTCCATGTCCCCGATAGTCAACAACACCAGTCAGCCATGCCAACAATCATTTAGGCCAAAAAGAGTAGCTCTAATAGAAACTTTAGGTTGCTTTATTATTTAATTTAATTTATTTAATTTAGCATTTATGAATTCATCAAGTTGAAATGCTCCATATCCCCGACAGTCGACAACACCAGTCAGCCATGCCGAGCATCATCTAGGGAAAAAAGAGTAGCTCCAATAGAAATCTTAAGCTGTTTGATTACTGAATTAAGCAGAGAGATAAAGCAATCCTAGTATTCATGATTTATTAATTCGTTTTCATTCTGCCATTTTTGATTTTGGGGACGGGCTTCGCTAACTAAGGTGACGTCATTCTTTGGGAGCAGGGTAACATGATACCCTAATACCCTAGGTAGAATTTTTGTTTTTTCTTGACTTCTAGTAAAGACCCTATACACTACAGGGCGCATTGTACACAAGACTGCTATACTACCGGTACTGTACCGCTTTCGAGGCATAATAATATCGATGTTCATTGTTGGCTTCTATAGTGAGCAGTGTTATCTTAATGATAGTTTGGGTAGCAGACCTCCTAGAGAAGCCATCGTACTATTCATGTCGCCATAGCTACCGTCGTCTGGACTGTCTGTCGACAGTCTCGATTGCTATTGCTGATCGAAATCTTCATCTTTTGCTTCCCAGTGGGGTGATTCTGTCAACTTTTTCCGTTGGATTGGGTCTTTGAGAGAGTTGGATCGTTATTACTGATCGAAATCTTGCTTCCAAGTTGTTTCCAAACTTCATCAGTTGGACTGATCATTGACAGCCTTGGAATTGATCGTTGGTATCCAATTTGAATACAATTATTATTAACTGTCGTCTTGCATTGGTGGATCATGTCGGCGGAGAAAAGCGGTTATCCTACACCTGCACCTGGTGGATCATCTGCTAGTGCCCCTCCAGCCATGGAGGGATACCAAAGTCAGAGTCAATATCCTCCAGTTCCTCCACCACAACAGCAACAATATTATAGCGGACAACCAACTTCAAATATGCCAACAGAGCCTCCACCAAGTTATCAAAGAGCTTCAGCATTACCTCCGTTATATACTGCTGACTCCTACTACGCTGAAAATTTTAGCCAGAAATCTATCCGTCGTGGTCAGTTTTTGTGCCCATTGACTACAATGCACGTACTTTGATCTTTGTTTTCAACACTGTTCTCCTTCTAGCTAGACCTGAATAATCTATCTTATGCTGATGATATCTTGTAATACGATATTGCCTATCATTTTACTCGACTAGATGTTTTACACCGTACATAGTGCTATCCTAAAGTGTAAATAGTGTCGATACACACCAAAAAAAATCCAGTCGAGTAGAATGCCTTTCAATGCTAAATAACGTGTAATATCAAGACAACAAAAGTTGCTACATATACAATGTTTCCATGTCAAGAACTACTTAGGTGAAAACAAGATCGACAAACACTGCATTTCTCTCTCTTCAATTACTATAGCACTCATTAGAATAAATCTACTCTTCTACAGTACTCTTCCATATTCTGTGGATGCTAGTATCGATATCGAGCACAAATAGTTTCACTTTGTTGGCGTAACAGACTCACCGTACTTGGAGAGTATCTATTTTACTAATTGAAATCAATTTATAATTTACAGTATACATAGGGGAAGCGTTAATTAATCAATGGAGTAGTACAGTACAGTAGATGCATTGAGAAAGATGCCTAATCGATAGTTCAGTTTCGGTTTGTTTGTACTGACGTGACTGTGCGCTATATCTATTTTAATGATGGAAATCAATTTATTTTTATTTAAAGTATGCACAAGGTATGCGTTAATTATAGAGAACTATGTATACGAGCGTACGTTTATGAATTTATACATATAGAGAAGGATAATCTTCATGGAGTAGTACAGTAATACATGTGGATGGACGCCTTATAGACATTTCTAAAAGCTAACTTACTAGACAAGCAAAATGAGTTTGACCAGTATTGAATTACATTCCATTAAAATTTGTTCACTTTACCTGTATGGTAATGATGAATACTGTACTGTTGTAACATGCTTATCCTTCTAAAACCTACTAAAAGAATTTTAATTAATTAATATCAATCAATTATTAACTAGCAAGATAGTTTACTATAGATAGGAGGCTATTGCGATCTGCTAAATAGGAAAATAATAGGACAGTTAATGAATCACATTAGAATGGATTTATACGGAATACTTTTAGTAGCAATCATGGGTTTCATTGCCGGTAATGGATAGACATGTATACGTAGTTCCTGATCAACGCAGTCAAGAATAGCCAACAGGCATTATCGACTAATACATTTAATCGACAGTCTAAAGGCATCCAAACTTTAACGTAAAATGCATTACATTTATCGACTGCATTTTTAGCCATCAATGAAAATTGGCAATATCCAAGTAAGGACCATGTATCTATCTGCAACTTTGTCCAAGAAATAAGGGTGTCGTACTCGAATATCTTGCAAACGACAGATTAATTCCATTAATAAAGACAATATGCGAGCAATTGCCTTGTATCTGTCTGCAATTTTGTCGAAGGAAATAAGAGTGTTGTACTCAAATATCTTGCTAACAGTAGATTAGTTTTGTTACTTAAGCTAATACTTGGTGCAATCTTGAGTATAGACTTAAAGAAATGCCCATGTAAGATTAATTAATAAGTGTAAAATTCAACTTTATACGACAAATAAGTCACTTTCTCAATTTTTATTTTTTCTATTTCATAACCGATATCTTCTCCAGCCTTCATTAGAAAGGTAAGTTGATCTAGGTGATGCAATCATCATGTATTTAATAATAGTTAAATCGATGTGGCAATCGTAATGAAATATGAATTATGTAACCTTTCGCTAGGTTTATTTGATACTGACTATCCAGTTAGCGGTCACAATTGGCATAGTCGCTATTATGCTTTTTGTGTAAGTAGGCACCTTGTTTAAAAAGACTTAGATAATTTTTATAGCCATATATATGCAAGCAGCAAGTTATTTCAAGTCTTAATGTTGATTGCAATATTTCCTATATCTATCGTAAAAGTCTTATACTGTATTGGAATGCTACTATACAAACTGTTCGAATGTAACCAATAGATGAATATCAAATTAATACAAACATGAATCATCGAACTGCACACTGCAGTCATTTCTAATATAATGATGCTGTTATAATTTTTTGATATTATACCGAATTTACTGCATCTATTTAAAAAAATAGACCGGGCGTCAAAGAATTTGTTAGAGCCAGTCTTCCTATGTATATTTCGTGCCTGTAAGTATTAAACTATAAATATTATTGATGAGAACATATTGAAACTAGTAAATAATATAATCATACTTGAATAATCAACACGTTCTGATAGCCAAATGTTCTATGATTGACCATCAGAGTTATTTTCCTGATTGCGTTCTTGGCCATGACATGTGTTCCTTCTTTAAGGTAAGCGACTATGAATCCGCGATATGTTTATTTCTAACGTGTAATTTACTAACTTTGCTTATGTGTCAATAATTATGCATATATATAATCAACCGTATCTATGGCATACAATTACCAGTTAGATGAGTTTATACCATTCACTAAAATTAGAATTAGCTATACACCTGATGCTCTCATAACAGTAACTGGTTTAACTATCATTAAATCCTTATACTAAGTGATTTTATCCGCCTTATTTTGAATATAGACGAAAAGTGCCGTATAATTATATTACGTTGAGTATTTTTGTAAGTGTGAATCATTGCTTACTTAGATTAAAGGACTCTTCAAGTAATTCATAAATACAGATACTTTTACAGATAATTTTAAGATAAGTCAAACAAGATTCGTGTGTGCGATTGGCTTATTAATGTAGCGTTTTATATGTAGACGTTGGCGTTATCATATTTGGTTGGAGTTATCAGCTGGTAAATATTGTTAGACTAATGCCTCAGATACAATATAACCTACAATTCTCTTTGATCGGCTGCAATGCTGTATAGATTGCACCAAGTTCTATAGGTCATAATAAAAGGGATAAGCTTGTACTAATTCTTATATTTCATTTTTGTATGTAAAATTAATTAACAATATGAAAATTATCTGCCACTCAAACTGGTAGCCGTTATTCCATTGATACAGTACTAATCGCCTTAGGAATTACTGGCGTAAGTATTAATTCACTATGATTAAGTAACTTCTTCAAAACCTGTTGGATAAATTTGATATATAACGACTTTACACCTTCGTTTACCATACTACAAAAGTAAATACCTTTATCGTATGCATTCTATTGACTGTTTAGAGAACTATGTGTCTTCTTTAGGGGCCCTATAAGTTAAAACATTGTATTCTTTAAACAAAGTTACTAGACGAAGTATTCAGCCTTAACAACTGACCGCTAATTTCTTTGTTTTATTAGATCGTCACTTTGGGAGTAACATTATTCTCTTGTCAGACAAAGGTTCTTTTTTTAGCTGCTTTAAAATTTCTGGTATCGTACTTCACTAAAGTTCGAAATCATAGCTAACCGTAGATTTTTTTTAACAGCTGGATCTAACGTTGATGAATGGATTGTTATTCTGCCTGTGTATGGTTTTGTTTACATTTGGCTTCTTTATGATATTTATGTGGAGCCGAGTAAGTATATATATAGTCTGTACCTTTCCATTAGTTCATACTATAGAAAGGATACATATCTTAATGCTCCTTTACTACTAGGTTGTTTATTTAATCTACGCAAGCCTTGGAGCGTTGATATTTACTCTTGTAAGTTCGGATAATGTTTACAGTTGCAAAAACTTAAAGATTATAAAGTTAGAACAATTAATAATGAGATCAATTTGCTTCGTAATAGTTCCTTGCCTATGATACACAACTCATTATGGGTGGTAGACGTTACGAACTCGATCCAGAGGAATACATTTTCGGAGCTCTGACTTTATATACTGACATTATATATATATTTATCTTCCTTTTAAGCATTTTTGGTAACAGTAGTTAGTGTCCAAGTGATTTACCGCTATTAATAATACCATTGCAGAAATGCATGCAGTGATTGCATCGCCTTTGATTCTCCACTTACTGTGATGGAGCGTAAAGAGAAATATGCGTATATGATACATAAGCTATTATTGTCTAATTTTAGATTAACGATAAGATGGATTTTTAGCAACTAAAGTTGTGCCTTCGATTGATTGTGATCATGGATAAAATAATATTAATGCGTATCAATTACCGAAGTGCTTAATACATAATACAGTCTAAACTATCATTTACATTATTATCAATAGGAACGATATTTGGTCGCTTTTGTGGCATTCGCACATATTTATTTAAAGTATTGCAAGATTACTATTCATATTTACTCCATCACTGCACTTTTACGATTTGATAATATCTTAATTATATTATATTCAATAACTGGCATTAGTAACTTGAATTTCTACTTCTTTCAGACAGTGTGTACTAGAGCTGATATCTATAATAAAATAAATTCAGGTTAATTGCATAGTTATCAAGATTACTGCACACTGCTTAGATGGATGTAATGCTTTACTACAGTTAATCAATCTGTTTCTGGTAATTGAATTTCGAATAGAAACAAGCATCGACTAGTTCAAGTTTTCATTACTGGATTAACCAAAGGCATCATTACTAGCTTTTAAAATGACTTTATCTAGTATTGATCGTCGGATTTATTGTTAAATGTGAAGTGATTTACAATCATGTATCGGTTCCATACAGTATAACAGTTAAAAGGGTATATTACTTAATGCTCAGTAGAATCTATAGACTTCCAAAGCTTGAAGTACTTATGATTAATTGTATATTTAAACTAAATAATTAGCTTACGATTATTCTTATAGTGATATAATTTCAAATTAACTGTAAGTAGTACATAAGCAATTCAATATTTATATTCACCGAAGATTGCTACAGTAATCTGAATAGTATGTTACAACTTTGAATGAAATAAACACTGTGAAGATTAACAAAAAGGTCAATAAATAATTTTGAAAGTAAATATTAATATATGCTAAATATCTCAAGGTACTCGATTTCGATGATAGTATATAATCGCATAAATAATAACTTAAGACTGGAATATCTTATAAATCTTGGGTAGGAAATTTTGTAAGATATTGAACAGTCTTTATAAAGCTTAGCATTCTGAAACCATCGCATATAGAAACGACAATGCTCTGAGAAAATTGTTGTGAAAGGATATAGTTTCCAAACTTATAAGCACAGATAGCTCACCAGACAAGTGAATGGCAAAGATGACATAGAATTTAACATCTTATGAAAGTATCTGATACTGAAACTGTAGGATAAATTAAAGATCTAAACATCGCAATATTTCCATGGCGTATAACATTACTATGCAAGTCTCGATGAATATCTACTGATAGCAGATTGATGATTTAAAAGTTAAATATTCCTTCAGTTTACTCAATAAGATGTCTATTCTAAATGTTCGATAATACATGAAAGTGTAACGACGATTTTCTTTACAATGAAATATTCACATGCCAACAAAAGTAAGTTTTCGTCACATGTATAAACGGTTAACGGAAATAATAGTGCTAAGTAAATGTAATCTATATACTGCTTAATAGTGAGCTTTGCAATACTGAACAGTTACACTATTATCACTGTTTAGGATGCAGCGTTTATCAGATCAGAATTACAGAATAAGATGCAAAGGGGAGATAAAATGAATTAGTGTTTTACCGATATTTATATTAAATATTGAAAATAAAAAGAAAATTGCACAAGCCTAAAATAATATCTTGCGTACAATTTGTAGAAAGAGAGAAATGTGTCAACTCCCAGCGAAATCTTTAAACACTAATGAAAACGAGGAGTAGCTACAATTCCAACGCCACCTTCATGCTGTGACATATCACTAACATATGACCACTTATTGGTCTTAGGATCATAACATTCCACGCTTCTTAAGTTGCAAAATCCATTATATCCTCCAACAACAAATAGTACGCCACCTAATGCTACCATAGCTACTCTGCTTCTTCTTATTGACATAGGAGCTACAAAAGTCCATTTGTCAGCGATGGGATCAAAGCACTCCACGGTGTTTAGAAAAGATCTACCGTCATAACCTCCGCAAACGTATATCTTATTTTCTAGAGTAGCGACGCCATGTCTGCACCTATGAAAATAGAAAAATACATCCCTTAAGTTAAAGATACTGCTAGATCTTATCTTTTAACTACTAGTATACTTTCACAGTTTTAATGCAAGGAATTTTGGTATGATTTGGCTAAAATTAATGGGCAGTGCTGTCTACGTAGTTTCAACCTTTTAGTGGCCATTGGCACCATATGACGCCAATAAGCTTCCCGTAAATCAAAAAATTCGACCGTATTAAATATTGATAATCCGTCATGGCCACCAAGAGCATAAATTCGACCTCCTAAAGAAGCTACTCCTGCAGCGCTTCTACATGTTGTCATTGGAGCAACGTAATTCCACGTATCTTTACCAAATTCGTATCGCTCAACACTAGTTTGATTGAAGACGATAACAACAGAAAGATATATTAGGTGATGACTAAATGAATGCTTTGCGTACTCATTTACTGTCTAATTCAGTAGCAATGTTAATTAAATTTAACGACCAATCTACGGTTCAAGAATCACATTAACATGTTAATTAAATTACGGTAACATGAACTTTATGAAAAAATTGTAGACAAAAGCTATTTAATTCCTGTCGATCTCATTCTCTTGCCAGACTAATGCTTCATTCAATTTTAATCAGATTATGATAACCTTCAAATAATTACAAAGCAATAAGTAATCTAATTAAACTACTTTTTGCTGCGGTATAATCTAAAATTCATCGATGGCATTCTCTAGACGGCGCCACTGTTTATTATTAAAGTATTTCTAAGCATTGCTATAAATATAGCATATATTCTTTTTCTTTACGTAGCAGGTCTTATATACTACTGTCTTTAGTATCCTTTTGCAATTGATTACAACTAATTTGCTATCGTAGGCGTTCAAAGAAATAGTAATGATCACAACAAGGATTGCATTTCTAGAATGATATTTCAAGTTCTGTCTTGATATGATCGACTGCATAGCGATAGACGTTACAAGAAATTTTTCAAATAATTTAAGTACCTATTCAATGATGCTGTGCCATCATAGCCACCAACTGCATAAATACTGCCTTGAATATTGACAGCACCTAAAGCACTTCTATGCACTCGCATTGACGTTTGATATTCCCATGAAGCTTGTTGATGAGAGATATCTAATCTTTCAACGGTACTTAAACGTTCAGTGCCGTCGACACCACCAATAGCATAAATGCAATTGCATAAAGCCGTTACTCCTAACCTACTTCTCATACTCTGTAGTGATGGTGCTGGAAACCATTCGTCACGGACATTATCGTAATATTCGACAGCATTGACGGAATTGCCGTTCGCTGCTAACCCACCCACAGCATACATATAACCTAACTCTTCCGTAAAGCATCTAGGCTTGATTTTATATGATTCAATTGATAAACGTTTACTAGGTATTAAGTAAGCATCTTTGGCTTCATCTACTAAATCACGACATTCAATATTTTTTCGAATAAGGTCAACATTAGCCACTTTTTCCGCCAGGTATTGTGGTGACAGTAGTGGTAGTCGTACAAACTTTAGTAAATAACTGAAGTACTGCTTCCTTTCAGCAAGTCGATAGCGTGTCCATGCTATTAATGCTTCGAAAATTAATTCTTCACTGGCTACGTTTAATTGATCACGCAATAATAATTCTTGTACTTGTTTGACCGATAGTGATAAATACTCGTCGCTATGAGATACTTCAGCAAAGCTACGATTGATAAATTGATTAGCAGATAAAACTAATTCTTCAGATGAGTATGTATCAGCAAAGGCACGTATACCTAAGCAATTACTGGCATCCATTTGTTTGATGATAAAATTACGACAAGCTTCTTTAACTAAATCAATTTGCAATAGATCAGAGGCTGTGAATAGTGATTGTACATTATTTTTATTTAAGTAGATTTGGCCACCGTATGCAAATTCGATCAATTTTTCAGCGGCTGTAGCATCAATATTGCCAATGGTGATTTCTTGTTGAGTTGCTTCAATCATATTACTGGTAAACATACTATAAAAGTATGGACTGTAAGAAGCTAAAACTAATCGATGCGCAGGTATTTTACTATTTTCCACCACAATAATAACATCACATAAAACTCCACTTTGGCGCAGGCTTGAAAACACTCCGAAAGATTCGTTGTACGATGTTGAGCTGCGAATAATCCAGTGTTGTTCTTCCTTGTCCATATTGTTTAATATATAGTTTAAGATATGACTCTTGAATTGGTATATCCGATAGGAAAACACGGCAGTTTATAGTGAACGCTGCTGCAGTGTTGAAGAAGTGCGAGCTGTCAATTTCTAGTGTAAAAAATTGCAATATGAATTTATACCAATTGCAATGTAGTATTGCACTACTCATATACTCGTACTTACCAAACCTATTACAAATTAACAATTAGGTATAACGCGTACAAACTTTATTCATTGATTGACATTTTATTTCTTATTCAAGTATGATATACAATTAAGGGATGCTTTACTCATGGAGCACATTATAATCGAATGGTAATGATCTAATGATCACTAATGATCATGTTGATTTAAATGAACTAGCATAAAATCACTCTTATTTCTTTAATCGCAATACCATGTTGAAATGTTTGAATTAGGCTAGCAATCCATAGATCAAGGGTACAGGATTTCATCTTTTATTTATCATATTATAGCTTTGGAGTTACCACACGGGTTTGTACGAGAAGTAGTAGTAGTGACAGTAGTAATAGTAGTGTATTTCGAAGCTTTTCCTATTCATGATTTGTCTATTCTGTGTTATATAATCGACAGTAATCTATTTGATAGTCTTTGAATACGTTCCTATTCAATCATCGTATACAAAAATTAACCAATTTGCGTATAGCATTTTTATTATCAAGGCTATGCTTGGAACTCAGTATAACGACAGAGCTTACTCCTAGGAAAATAATCGATTTGATAGTCATTTTTGATATCTTAATATCGAATTATGTATAGTACAGTACTCAAATTGACTAAGACACGAATAGTATTTCCATTATCAAGGCTGCACTTGGAAATTGATATAATGAGGAAGTTTATTTCTAGAGAAATAAACTACAATACTTCCTAATTATGTTATAGTTTCAGGTCGAATTGTGTGTTCAAATTGATCACTACCAACATAATATTTGCATTATCAAGTGTACTTAGAAATTAGCGTAGTGACGGGTTTTATTTATTTCAAGAGAAAGAATCTATCTGATGGTTTTGCTATATATAGATTAATGTCCATTGCTACACTCAAATGAACCACTACACGTCTAGTATTGCCATTGATGACCAAATCTGCAATTGGAACTACGTATAGTGGCGGTGTTTAATTCAAGAGTAAGCACTATCTCGCTTTCTTCTACGTTCATCAAGATTGAAAGACTATGGTAGTTCAGTTACTACGAGTATAATTCATTATTAGAAAACAAAACAGTCATCCCACTGTAGCAGGATGCCTTACCTTGAGTAACTCGGTAGGATCATCAGTCATCCATTCTAACTGCGCGATGAGTGGAATATGACCATTAGATAGCAAGTCCTGAAATAAACAAAGCAAAAAGTCTTACCCACTGTAGTCTCTATTTCTCATGTCGCCACTTTTATGACGACTAGTATTCACACTATAGTATGCTATAGTAGATCAAGTTATAACGATTACTGGAAGGATAGAAATGGAAAAAGACACACACACACATTAACACACGGTGATGATAAAATCTCCTACTTGACAGCCAGACATTCAACTTCCTGTACTATACACAAGCCATCAAAGTAGACGAGAAAATAAGACAATTTATCTATAATATGATTCTTTACTAAGAGGATGAAAGAAGCTACACTATCCTCTCACTACGGCATCGCCATTTCTGTCTGGATGATGATGAATTGTATTTATAATTAATCCATACCTGAGGCGTTGATGACCTTCGCTGATCACCAACTCGACATCAATATTGCCAATTTGGATCAATCGCAGGAAAAATCAAGGATTTGATTTCAATCGCATTGAATTCGATTACGGTGTTACAATCGATGGGAATCCGCTGTCATTACTGCTAAAGTGGAAAGAAATGAAAGGCAAAATGAAGTAAATGTATGAAAAAATCAATCCATTTAATTCAAGGTGGGGGATAATGGATTGGGCCAAAATTCTTTTGTTGGAGTTGAACCCTACCTTTAAAGAGATACCTTTAATCGTCCTGCAGTATGTCGTGGATCTGTCCGTCCGATGGGACCGCCATTGGGCATTTTGAATGGCAGTATTTTGGACTGTGACGAAGCAGTCGTGGACTGTACGTACACTGCTGTACACTGAATGTGCACTAAGAATAGTTACAGCACACAGCAATTATTTTCGATATATCTGTCCATTTTTTTTTTTATATGGACATCCTTTGCCATCCCCAAATTTAAGGAATTAGTCAACATGTCAAAGTGTAGTACTGTAGGGGCTGCAGCAGTCCAGTAGAGTCAACAATCTACAACACAGTCTACTGTACTGTACACTGTACAGTGTGTACTGTACACTTGAGGTCTTGATAGTCCGGTCCAGTCCGGTCCGATCCGGACCCACGCACGAAGAGTCTACAGTACAGTGGTGTACAGTACAGTATACAGTACAGTGTACTGTACTGTTCGTAAATTTGTAGTGCAGTACTGTACTGTACAGTGTACTGTACTGTACACTTGAGGTCTTGCCGGTCCGGTCTGGTCCGGACCCATGCACGAACTGTACAGTGTACAGTACGTAAATTTGTAATGCAGTATACTGTAAAGTATGTACTGTACACTGTACAGTACACTTGAGGTCTTGATGGTTCGGTCTGGTCCAGACTACTGAACACTTGAGGTCTTGATGGTCCGGTCCGGTCCGGACCATGGCACGAAGAGTACAGTGTACAGTATTACGTCAATTTGTAGTGCTGTACTGTACATAACGGCGTATCACTTGTCGCAGGTGAAGTCCGTCGACGCTGAAAGCAAAAGCTGCATGTCAACCAACTTGATTCAATGCCATGGACAACGACAAAAGTCAAGCGTCATCCATCAATCGATTGAAACGCCGGCAGGAGTAAGTTCTTCTTGATGTATCATGTCGGAAGAAAATCAGTGGATGCTATCATACAAGATGGGCACAGTTGAAATAGCAGAGAGGAATGTATTAAGCTTGTTAGTGATGCCTCTAGAACCCACTGTAGACTTGCATCAGCAGACTAATGTAGTATTGCTGTCATTTCTTGCCTGCAAGAGTTCACAAGCAATCGTTGGATAAGTGTATACTTTCATGACAGCATGACTTTTCCGCTGTTCCACTTGGATTAAGTCGAATAGACGGGCCAACCATTTTTTTATACTGTATCATATACAAAGTGGACTTGATCCCAGGTCTGATACAGTAATATCCAACTCCTACAGTTTTTATACCTAAAACTACTAGTCTTGCTTGCTTTCAGGATAGGGTTGCATTGCAAACTTCATTGGTACAACTTATACAAGGCATGAATTTGCACTTTCACACCTCCTTCAATCATTAGAATAAAACGATCGACATGAACTTCATGACTACACTTACTATTGCTCATGGGCGATGATATACCTGACGATACAAGCACAAATTGAGCTCGCATTAGCAAGTTTCTGCTATTTCTGACGGCATCATCGACACGTATTGCATGCAGGGACAGCGTACTTAAAATAGAAATTGCACATCAAAGGGTTAAAGGATCCTTTCACGGATGGTTGTGCGCTATTACTATACCTGTACTATACTCTATTTATGATTAGTGATGAACCCTTCGATCTAAATTGCTACATTATTGTCAGAAAGTTGGTGCGATGTCACAATAAAATTTGTAACTCAACGATCACATTGGCTATCACTTCATTTCTCTACAACTCATTAGAATGGTTGCTCTCAATCAATAAGACGGATGAAAGCTTATAAATTCATAATCGCTTCATCTCATAAGTAAATAGACTAATGGCGTCAAAATAATTATTGCACACATGTATATCGTACAATAGTTACTTATTGTGAATGTTTGTAAGTTTACACCATCAATCAAGTGCTTAGGTTGTATTCATCAACCAAAGGTGTTTTTTGTATAATCTGTTAGATGGTGGAAAAAACATGCCAAGAAGGACGCTAGTCAATCCAGTAATCCCATTCAAAATTTGAACAGCGAAAATAACGCCGCTGCGGAAATCAAGCCTCCTTTAAAGAATAAATCATCCAAACGTTTTATCCTTTTCTTAGGTTAACATTACGTAATGTTTTTCTGACTGCAGTTTGTTATCGACATTGAATTACTTACTACAGGAGCATTAGTGTGATTCTTTAATTATATACACGACGTACAGTACTGTACACTATACTGTATTTGGTTATTAGCAAAACCGAATGTTAAAATTTCATATTATCGATTATTATCGATTAATTTCTTGTTATCGACATTGAATTACTTACTACAGGAGCATTAGTGTGATTCTTTAATTATATATACGATGTACAGTTTACTGTATTTGGTTATCAGCAAAACCGAATGTTAAAATTTCTTATTATTATACCATTATTGATACCATCTAAAAAATTAGATACATCTTCCTTTAAGTAAGAATTCGTTGACTACTGTCGAGAAATATACCACAGCAGTCTATCATGTAGTCGAAATCACACACTCTCCAACTGTCATGGAAGAATATCAATCGTGTTAATGATGCTAATTGTACCTGTATTTGACTAGGTAATTTAAGTTATTCTACCACCGACGAAGATATCTTAAAGCATTTTAAAAAATGTGGTAAGATCAATCATTTCAACTAGTTATTTATTGAATTTTCTCTCATCTTCTGATGACATTTGGAGACTATAAGAAGTAATAATTTATAGAATCAATTGTTCATGATTGTAATTGTTAACGTGCTTAGTAACTTACAATCTTTGCCTAAACTTATGTCTTGACCATTTTTCGACTTACAGTTAATAATAACGTAACATTTGGACCACGCATTTTTATCTCTATGACGGTTGCTAGTTACTAGCGTCAGATTGAACTAGACCTAAAGTATTAATTAATAATTTGAACTTTATCATGACAGTTCATAAAATGCATAGAATCATACAATTGGTACAACCTGGCATTTTTTAGCCATTGCTAAAGTAGCTAAAGGCACATTTATCTTTTAGGTACAAAATATTTCAAGAGCATTCAATTTACACTCATTGTGTTTCAATTTCAGGTCATAATTTACAAGTACGATTGTTAACCAAAAAGGATGGTAGTCCAAGAGGATGTGCATTTCTTGAAGCCTTCAGATATGCTGATTACCAGGTGAGTTATAGTATTTCCAAATGATTCTAAAATTCTTGCAAATTTCTACTTAAGGGACAACCTCCAATTTACACTTGTATTGATCACATTCCAATATGCTAGTGTATGGAAAATTACTAACGCTGTTTCAAGTGACATATTACTAGGCTTACATGTTGTAACTCTTTTGACATAAAATTTCTGATCTACGACTAGAAAGTAGTTTACTGAATAAGATTGAAATTGTACAGAAATTCAAATAAAGGGGTTGTCTATACCATGAATTTTCTTTATCTCTGACTAGAAAGCGCTAAAGTATCACCATACGTCATTAAACGAACGCAAAATAAATGTTGAAGTTACATGTGGTGGTGGCGGTAATAGCTTAACCAGGAGAAATAAGATCCAGTCAGAAAATGAAAAAATGAGAACAAAACTAGACAAGAAATAGACAAACTTGATATATACGCGTATATAATGCTGTCTAGTGCTGTAGAATATGATTGAATAATGTACGGTATATTATTGAGAATTATCGAACATCTTTGTGCAAATTTTAAGAAAATTTTAGCATAAGCTACTATGTCAGAATGTTGACCACCGCTCAGCCATTCAACATATTTACAAGAGTCGAGCTGCTCATACGCTATTATTCACCGTCATCTGTACATAAACTGGAACCAATTTTATTTTTTGTATGACAAATACACTTATCAACCAATTTAGGCATATATATTGGTATGTTACGACAAGCTTTGAAATTGGAAATGTCTGTTAATTCTTACAATAAAATACAAATATAGATCGTGAATAAACAGAGAACAGTGAGGCAACAATAATTACTATCTGACCTACCAAATAAATTTTGTTAGCACTTGATTATGTAGCAGTTTATTTATACAGAGGCATTATTATAATACAGTGGAAAGAAGAATTTCACTATTATGAATATTAGACAAGCATTCAACATTTCAGTATAGTGTTGATTATAGCAACATCACCGCAGTAATACCTTGCAGCCTTGGAAACGTGAATGTGTATATTTAATTTACCGTTATTAGGTACAAGTGACTATCTAAACGAGGTTTAGCATAGAAAATCTTCAACTAGATGAAGCAGGTAACTATCGTCCAACAATAGCTAACCACTGTTAACAAGCACTTTTGGGGGGGCAGGTCATAGATTGAAAGTTTTTATATAGCGGTACCTATACCACACTGTGATACATATTACAAATTAATCGATATTTACAAGTACATTGGTATGTGGACAATGCATACAGTATGTAACTAGTAACCTTTTAGGCGAAATAGTGTTGAGTATAAACATTAACCAAATTTTAAAAATTAAAACAGTATATAAATTTCTACATACCATATCCAACATAACAGAATAACAAGTCATCATTCTTAGTGTAACATTTTCACAAATAGTATTACACTTAGTTTTATCTGTACTGTGATTTTTTTCTTTTACAGCAAATAAATACAGTTATCGATTATACCATAGCTTACATTATAACTCAAGTGCTGAAAAGTAGTCATTATAATGGAAGATTATGTTAAAATCTATAAAATCAAAATTGTACAACAGTATAGAACTGTATTGGACCATACTCTATGGTAGCAATGAATTATGCGCGTATATTGTCATTCAATCGACACTACAAAACGCTTAATATTGACAATTACTAAAATTATTTCTTGTTAAATTTCTGAGTCGATATTATTAGTCGTCCGCAATGGTATCGTAGGTAGCGATTTCTGTGGGACTGATTTATCAGCAGGCAAAGGCAACGGTACGTCCACACCTTCATCCTTGCACTTTTCAGTATTCAAAACAGATGAGGTAATGCTACTGCTTTCATTTACATCTGCAGTAGTTTTATCTATTTCAACTGCTCTAGCGCCATTGTCTCGATCATCATGACTATGATGTGTATGATCTGCAGAATTATTTTCTATCATGTGTTTCTTAGAATGAGGCGCGACATCTGAGTTTTCCTGTTCGGCAATATCTGGCTCCAACTTTCTTTTTTGGCTCTGCGCCATGTGTCCCACGAGTCTTGAATTAGACTGTGAATGCCCATAATTCATAAAATTCGGAGTAGATGATGATTTTCTTAACGTTTCCGATTGAGAAGCGAGATTCGTTCTTATTGTTGGTACTCGCTGCGTCAACGCATTTGCTATCATCGTCTTATCCGAAGGCGCAAAATTCAGTTTCTCCGAAGATGCAGACAATGTAGGAGTGGGATCAGTTTTATCATTTTGTATTGTATCGCTAACATGTTTCTCATCTGATAGCTTGTTTTTTCTAGCTTCTAAATGTACTTCGGAGTGGTTAGCCTCATTCTTGTCATCATTTTTAGTAGTAGCTTTAGAAATTGTGGCTGTAGTACTTTTATTCGTGTTACCAAAGGATGAAGATTGCTCCTTACTTTTAATACTAGAAGGAAGTGAATTACTTCCTCCACTCATAAAACGCTTTCGAACAATTTCACTTTGTTTAAGTCCAGCCTTGGCAAGAAAATGCATGATTACAATTACCAAAAAAGAATTGACAGTATACAACACAATAATTATAATGAAATTGTACAGGGCATCGCAATTCAAGGGAATCATAAGATTCTAGCAAAGTAAATTACCTTATCCATATTAAATGCAACGGATTTCTTTAATTTACTAGGGCATGTGTCGATTATGTGGAGAAATTTGCAGGCCAAGTCTGCCGAGTATGATACTCGCAGTTAAATAGATAGGTAACAAATAAAATATATATTGTAATCCTATTATGTAACTATGTACCATCAAGCTGTTTTAAGGATATATGAGGATCAAGCGATTTGTACCAAGCCCCTCCATCTTTCAAAATGGGTAGCTATAGGTGAGAGAAAAATATGATAATTATAGAACAATCGGCTGTCCATGTGCTAACACTAAGATAATTTCATTGACTTCCTCTTAGAGTTACCTCGATGTCGAGCCATTTACAAGCGATATGAATGCAAACTCCCGCTATGATAACCGGCTTATGTTGCAAACAAAGCGTACTCAGATGCGAACTAAACAAGTATATTTGTGTTGAAAGAGCACATTAGTGTCTATCGTGATTTGATCTTAAACTACGGTCAAGCATGACTACAGAATAGACTTACCTCTGCGAAGCTAGGAAATAGGCAGTCTGTGCTAGTTCTTTCATGCCTACTTAGAAACAAGATAAAACAACAAAATTAGTAAATTTGAAGAGTCAAGCTAGATACGAATTCATTTATTTTCAATTTATGGAGAAGATTACAGTATAGGAATTGCTATCAGTGATATGTGCATTCAAATCCATAGTATATTGTAAAATGAATGGAATATGATGCAAGTCTTACCTTTCAAGCCATGTAAGCACTTTATAACGTGCGTATGTGGATGCATGATTTCAATGTCAAAGCCTGTAGTAAAACTAGTAGCTATCATATCTGGTCTTACTCATCATTGGTAAGAAAAACCTAAGGCACACTTGCCTAATGTTAACAACATCGCATATTCGTTGTCGACAAGATCTTGAGACAGCTTGAGAAATTTCTGCAAGATGATTGAATAATCTTAGAAAAGTGGATCGTGGTTGAAATGGCAAGTAGAACACCTTTATTTGTAAATTGGTGCAAATCAATGCAGTAGTCATGCAATACGAAAGTTCTAGCAAGACTATCATCTGACTTGTACGCTTGGTACTATATCATCATCATCATCATTCTATCTGGTTATCACGTACAATATTATTATTCTACCTATTACAATAAGATTAAAGCCATTTTGAGTACGTACAATTCATTGGATGTTATCAAGTTACCTCGGATTTAGGGTCTAAAGGCGAACTTTCATGACTAAAATACTCATAGGCAGCAGTGATGACTTTATTTAACTTATTCGGGTGTTCTTCTGATTTAGAAGCAAGGAAGATAGCACAAGCTGCTATATTCTGCGATTAAAAAGCACATTTTTTTTCAATACGTTTCAAAGCAGTACTATTTATCGGATACTCAACATTGGAAAAATAATTTGTCCATTGAAGAATTGATTGATTGTATCCTCCATGGAAAATTCAACATGGCCGCCGCTTACCTTTAGGTTATAACTTGCTAAAGAGTGAAACATATAAAATCGATGCATGTAAACCAATGCTGTATTAATTGTTAATTGATTGCTAGTAGTAACGTTAAGGAATACATTGAAGAATCAAAAGTCATGTTATTTCAGCTTATTCGTTTATTATTTTCATGATTGTATGCAGCGTGAATGGATATGTGGAAGATTGGATGCATGTAGCATGCATGAAAAAGGCATGAAAAAGGCATGAAAAAAAAAATGGAATGGTGGAAAAAATATATAGTACTGTATAGAGTCGTGAAGACATGAATGGAACATTACCCCTTGAAGGGAAAGTCTGTCCTCTTCAAGCCTTGACTTGACTGGTCTAACAATACGTCCAAAATGGCCGTGAAAAGTGGACTAAAAACTGTCCGACGAGATATCCTACATTACTAATCACTGTTATTTTTTTTACTGATTGTCCATTCAAGACTTGACAAGAAAATCAATTGGTACAACAGAGCAATGGACAAGTTGACCGAGGACAATATGAACATGAATATTGGAAAGTGGATACGCTCCCAGCTTCATGCCTAGTTCTTGTATACAAAGGGCACATGTTTGACGATAATATAACTCCGTTGCGACGCTAATGTCGTTACGCCGTGAAGGGGTATTTTGCAGTTCTGTATCACTAAAATAAAAGTTAGTAACAGCAAAATCTGCCGCATTACAACTACTCGACGATGATCCAGACGAGGAAGCATTTGCAGTCGCCATAGTCCAATTCGTCAGCAGTCTGGCGTTCCAATCCGCTCTGGCTTGTGAATTTTACGCACCTTTGCAAGCGGCGGCGAAGCAAACTCGCGTACTCTATTCAACACAGTCAGTATTAGTCTAGTGTAATCGAGTACTGTGCACTGTACACTGTAGACTGTAGAGTCGATGGGGCGCGGATGACGTCATGATTTCAGTCTGCTGTACTCCAGTCTACAGTACAAGCCTACAGTACTTTCGACTCCGTCTGGTTGTGAGTGAGCGCTGACAATAGTCTGTCGTTATACTGTACTGTAGTCAAAGGTAGTGTAGTGTACTGTATGACGTCAACCTTGCAGTACAGTACAATATCATGCTGTCAGTATGAACACAACCAGTCTAGTCCAGTACAGTCTTTCACTGTGTGGCAGTCACTGGCTGCCACGCAGTGGAATACATTTATATACATGATGATAACATACATATACATATTATACATGATATACAGTATATATATAGGATGAATGTTCATATTCACGCACTTTTCTGGAAAACTTGCAGTTGACAGAATATCATGGTACTGTACAGACCGCACGATGGACGGTAGTGGAACACGGCATGGCGTTAGACAATGCACACTACAGTATTGCACAGAGTACAGTGTACAGTACTGTACTGTACTGTACAGTACAATGGACTGGAAAATGGAAAATTCTCGAGCACTTTTTACAGTAGTGGACAATTTACACGGTTAGGGTTACAGTATATCTACTGGTACTAAAGTTGAACCAAGTACTGTACAGAAGATTCAAGTTTAGTAGTACAGTACACCATGACTACAGTATCAATCATCGACCATGACGTTGGATCAATCTTAACCCATTTAACCCTAAATACACTGGCCATATCGAGCAGTCGTCAACAATCACTCACCCATTCACCCACCATCATAGCGCTCGAAAGAGAACTGGCTGACACCGTGCTGTACTGTACGGTGTACAGTACACTGTACTCCACTCTACAGTGTACAGTACGGTACTGTACACTGTAGAGAGAACTGGCTGACACCGTGCTGTACTGTACAGTACACTGTACTCCACTCTACAGTGTACAGTACTATACTGTACTGATATCGAGCAGTCGTCAACAATCCCATTCACCCGGGCTCAAAAGAGAACTGGCTGACACGGTGCTATACTGTACAGTACAGTGCAGTGTACAGTACGCTGTACTCCACTCTACAGTACTGTACACTGTAGAGAGAAGTGGCTGACATCGTGCTGTACTGTACAGTACAGTACTGTATTCCACCCTACAGTGGACAGTACTGTACTGTACACTGTAGAGAGAACTGGCTGACACTGTACTGTACAGTGTACAGTACACTGTACTTCACGCTACAGTGGACAGTACTGTACTCCTGTCAGCTGCAGGAGCGACGTCAAAGGTGAGGTTACATCAGCCCCAACCAACTCAGTGCTGTCCGACACCACTCAACCTCAGTGACTTTCTCTAACCGCAATCACACTGTGTGTCAGTAAGCGTGTGGAAAGTTTTCATTAGCGGTGTCCGCCAGCCTTGCTGTGTGCCAACTTGGATTTTGCCATGCAGTTTACAAATGCTTTGGGTAATGCTCAGGTAAGTCAGCATTTGATATAGACTTGTTAAGATAGTGCTGTCAGACAGTAGTTTCTTGCCTTTGGGCCATCAACATCACCAACATGCTGGTCGTCTTGCATGTGCTTCACTTTGACCACGGTACAGTACACTACAGTCATTGTACTAACACTGGGTAGAAAGAGACCACAGATTCCCATCCATGGTGATGGAGAAAAGCAAAATGGACTGGACTAGAGCAAAATTGGCAAAGAAACTATCGTACAGACAGTTTCCGCATTGAATCATACAACGACTAAAAAGACTTGGTCATCATGACTGTAGCCAAATACCCAATCAAACACAACCAGTACAAACTACGGTGTACTTGAGTCATGTTCCAACTTAGAAGACACATTCCTGAATCCCTTTTTAAAGCCTAGCTCGTCTTCCATCATGATGATTATAGGGATAGTCTTGGCCAGTACAAATGGATTGAGTATGCAGCAAGCATCCTATGTCACCCAATTGGAATCTTCCACTTTTACCTTTCCATATATCAAAGTCATACATCACCACAATCGGCCAACACTATTATAGTAATGATAGTAGTAACTCTACTATGAATGACGATCATTGGAAAAAGATGATGTAACCCGCCAAGCGTATGATGATGATTACCATCAATGACTGTGCTATGGGTTAAGACGGTCATAGACTAGGATACTGTATTAGCCTACAATTGAGCAAAATACCGAGAAAATAACCACAAAATCACACACTGACGATGGCTCACATAGCAACATTGGCCAATCTTGACTATCGCTTAAAATGATCTCATCACAACAAGGCCACGTCAATCATGTCCATCAAAATGCGGACAGTATGTTAGGGGCAACGTTGAGACATTGCTACCATGCCAACTTCATGATGCTATACGATTGGTACAGTATTGGATTGCGATCTGTAACCTCAAAGCATCACATAAGATAGAGAATAGTCTCTTCGGTAAAACAGTCTCTGCTGTAGTTTCAACTTGTAGCCTTGTGATAGCTACGGTAGACGTCAACATCAAATACCAAAGGAAAATAAAGGGCAAGGCTTACCAACACCAATAGAGTGTTCATTTATTTCAGTTTAGGCGATGAAATCGCTACATACAGTAGTTGATGTCAAAGACACACTAGAGCTAAATCTAGCTTCAACGACGTCACTTCAGGTTGAATAGATTCTGTGGATAGTAGTTATTTCGATCGGCACGCTGTTTTATACAACACAAATGAAAGTAACTATTCAAGCTGTTGTAATGACACTTTACAAAATTCTTTCTATTCTAGATCTCGACAGTCATCAACGAAGCTTTGGCGTTACTTAACACAATCAAGACGACTGCCATAGCCACAAGCTCTGCTACTGCAAGACATAAACGTCAACAGCAAGCTCAAGTAGCAAAGAACTACCAAAAAGAACTATCAATCATCACCCAACAAACCCAGGTGAATCGATGACAATAAAAGGCATTCAATCGAACTGATCATAAAGTTTACATAAAGATGCAACAGTTGATTGATCACTACCTTTGCACGACAATTTATCTTCCCACTCAACCAATATCTTGTCTAATTTACAGAAGATATTAGCGGAAGAATTACGCCAGCTCAATTTGCCCAACAATTGGTGGAAAGATTTGGCTTTAACCTCGCTATCAAAGTCGTCAATTCCTTTACAGAAACTAGATGTATCATGTTTGTCCGCCTTATCTGCGTCCAGTCGGACAGGTAGTTATGCACCCGCTAAGGAGCCAATTGTGCTAGTATTATTCCCATAACTCGTCGCAACTTTATGTTATTAGTATGATAATTATACATTTACTGATATTAACAACAGAAAATTGTTTTTCTATGCTAGCCTCTCCTTATTCACAAAAAGCAGCAACGCTTGGCTATTCGTATATTCAGCCTATCTTTAATTCGTATTCACACCAACGATTACCCAAATGTAAGCATGACATCATGTTCAAGCTATACCTTGTAAAAAATAATTGATAATGGATGTTTACGGCACATTGATAAAAATAATAAATAATATTATCTTCGTAGTCAACGTCA